TGTAGTAAATGGTTGTGCAGCTGACTCATCTGATTGCAAACATCAATGCACTGTATTAGCAGTAAAGTTGCTGTTCATATCTGTCATTAGGAAAGATATCTTGAGCTAAAAGAAGCTAGTTCCCCTCGCCTTTCTAAACACTTCATATGCTTTTTGTGAATAATCAAAAAGAATTGAAGCAGAAAGAGAGGAGTCCCAATCTGAGTTTACAAACTGCTTTACATAGGCTGCTAAGGTTCTCTAAAACCTGAGCTTAAAGAGGTCTGAGATTTATTCGATAGCACAAAGCCCAAAAAATGAGGCCCATTCGATTTAGTCAAATTATGCAAATCAGGATTAGAAGTAGGATTCTAAATTCTGCCCGTTGTCTCCAGAGTCCTCTTAGACTAATAAAAAGTCTTATATCCCCTCCCCACCAGAAAGCTCTGCTAAAAGCTTGCTTCAGCAAAGGAGGCCTGGCAGGACACCTTCCGGAGTCCATCACTGCTCCTGCTAGCTCAGCAAAAAGACACGCAGCAAAATGATGCAAGACACTTAAGCCTCCCTTGAGACCGAGGGGATTACTTCCACAGCACTCTCCCAGTCCTACGAGCCAGAAACCAAATTCAAAATAATCCTTGCATGCTATCCCTCTCTCTGGAGGCAGGTAATGAACTTTCATCACAATGATTCAAGATTTCAGGAAGGTTCTAGATTATCTGTTATGCCTGGTTTCTCCAAAAGCTGCTGAATAAAACTCTTTGCCACAGGTTGGGTCAAAAAAATGCAATAGCGTAAGCCTTGAAATAAACATTCATGCTACCATGAGCTCCGACAAGCACGCTCTCTACAGAAATATCCCCGAGGTCCCCGAGTCACCGCAGTTCACAGAATCATCTCAGATACAGCAGAGCATCCAACACGAACACAGCATCTCTGCAGTCAAGTCCTGACTGCCCCCCATTTATATCTACATGCCATTTTGAAATGTTTGCAGTGATCTTGAGAGCCTCAGCTAGGCTTCTAACCACTCGTCCAATAGTTGCCTCGCTCTCTGCCCACAGGAGAGTAGCTAAATTTTTTAAGATTTCCTGGTCATCCGAAGCGTCTGAACAGACCCTGTCTGGCAGAAAGCCATCCTATGACAGAGAAAAGCTAGAATCTAACAGACTCAGAGACCAAAGAAAAATAGGTTTACTTTATTCGCCATTTGATTAACAGCTTGCTTGTGCAATAATTTTGTGTAGTGAAAGTGCCCAGACTACTGCTAATAAATTTAATAAAGTAAACAAATGCAGGCATAGTTATCACCATGGCAATGAACCCACCCCCTCAGTCCTCTAAACAGCATACAGAAAATTTAGATAGAAAGGGAATCACTGTATGAGCAGCCAGATCGGAGACTGTGTGACGGATACTGTTTGCCAAATATAATTAAGCAGTATATTTTTGACACAACCGAAAACCAATGGAAAAGATAATGGTACCAAACCAATTTAGGCAAAATAATTATATTAAATCAAGGTAATGGAAATGCCCCAGTACTGAGCCACCCTGAATCTGCACAAGATGGTGTTAAATACTGGAAGGGTTCTGCATGACACAGGAGAGGCATACAGTACGCAGCAGAATAAATGGAGGTAAGCAAGCAAGAGTAGAGAAGCAGATGCACACGTACACAGACGGAGAGAAAGGAAGGAGCGAGGAGAGACAGAAAGTACCTGGAAAGCTGGGAGTGCGCCAGTCCCTGGGTTATACAGGCATCGCAGCGAGGGCATGCTGTCCGCCAGGCTGGAGCAGCCCAGCCACAGAGATCTGGGCATAGAGCACTGCAGAGAAAGGACAACTATGAGATGGGGCTATATGAGACAGGATGGCACAGATTACAGGTACTTTCAAGGATTAGCTGACTGGCACCAACACAACTGCAACTGGCCTTAAAGACTGAGACATCTTTAAGAAAATACAAACTGCTGATGAGCCTTTTCCTTCCCCAAAGATTAGCAGATGTCATAGTAGCAAGAAAAAGACAGTACGGATCAAGAAAGTAAGTTTTTGATCTTTTTTATGCCAATGTGTGAGTTTCTCGCTAATAAAAAAATTTCTTTACAATTAGCCAGGCCTCTTCTCCATGCATAGCCACTGCCCAGACACAATACAACACAAAGCAAGCAATTTGCAAGGGAAGCAGAAAAGGAAGTGACAACTCCAGACGGAATACTGGCAGGGAAAGAAAACGTTTTGTATGGCTTGTTTTTTTTTTTTTTTTAAATTCCAAAGGAGATAGAAGGAAAGTCCTGCAGTCCAAGGTCACTAGGAACTTGATAACAGTTTTTAGGAGTTTCCTGTTTCTACTTGCCTTGCTATTCATTAAATACAATTACTACAACAAATAGATTCTGTTCCTCCAAACACATGAAATACAAAAGAAGAGCCAAAGCAGCCAATCACAGAAAATTCCATTCATTTTGGTACTCAAAGCTGACATATACAGAATTGCTTGTTCATTTTAAATCCCTACTATTAAATTTAGCGATGTATTATGATAAAAATTGCTCTTACAACAGCTGTATTTTTTCAAAGTACTGGTAAGGCGGGAAAAAGTATATTTTTAAACAGGCAGCTAGTTACGAAAACTGCAAGATGTGATAGCTTAGAAGCTAGAAATTTCAAGCCATAGTAAGTACTCTTTTTTGCACCCCTCATCATATTAAATTGTTGTGGATTTTTTTTTTCCCTAAAGGGGGGATGGTAGGAAGTCTGAGTGGAATGGGCAGCTGGAACGGGTATGAAATGACAGCTGCCTTTCGGGCCACTGTTTCTCACTGCTCTTAAGAGGACTAGAAAATCTTGCACTAAGTTCATATGTAGGAGCTATGCAACCAGTCCTTGAATGAGCAGAAAGAGGGTGATCACCAACATCTCTGATTTCTTACTGTGTCTACATAGTAGAGATACAGAGAGATTAACCCTGTCTATCACCATGTTCTTTGGTGCACTTTGTTGCCATTTATGCTTCTGTTCCAGAAATAGTGTAACAAGATTACTGGGGAACATAACCTATATAAATGTGATTTTTAGAACTTTATGGCACCCTACAATAATTCCCTCACCTCACTTTCTTTAAAAAGGAAAGAGGTTTTTAAGTAATAAAATTCTTGAGTTTCAAAATCTCTATGATATTACACCTAACAAGAAAATGTAGGTGATGCCTTTCCTGAGAGACAAAGAATGACGGCCAAAGTATCATAACAAGGGGGGAAAAAAAAGAGCCGTACTTCCTTGTTTGCTATCCTGACCTTCAAGAAAACACTCCCTCCCACATACAAAAATCTTACAAATCCCAGTAATTTTTTTTTTGCAGCACAATATGTATCACTCCAGCTATTAAGATGTTGTGACCATTAGCAAAAAAAAAAAAAAAAAAACACTAAGTGTACCTTCATGTTTAAACATCTCACCAATTTAATAATGCATTAAATGCATTAATGTAAGCCAAGTTGTTTATCAGCACTCTTGAAGAAAGTCACAGTAACAAAGCAGTAACAAACTACAACATGGTAACCTTGCTAATACAAAGCAAATTCACTAGGTAAGCATTCAGCTGCTTGCCATTTACCCAATCTAGAATTCATAATATAGTACAAATACATAATAAATTAATTAGTATTTTTTGAATACAGACTTATTAGAGTCTTGCCCCAGCTATTCATTCCCTCCTCCCAGGCTTTCTCTTTCCATGTGCTGGCTGAGGCTTTTGTCTGGTGACGGCGAAGGAGATTGAAGAACTGATTGCGACTCAAAGTAGGTGAACAAAATAAAGAGGCTACTTTAAATAGTTGTACTGACCAAAGCATGAAAAGACAGAGGCAGGGAAAAAAGAGGACAGCTTCTGTCAGTGGCAATGCTTGCTTATGCTGTCTCAAAGGTCATGCCAAATTATGGCTCAGACCAGTTTCTGAGTCACTACAAGAAGCAGGTATGGCTATTTGGGGGTGGGGGTTGCAATCTGAAATTGTAAACGTACCCCACTATGCCAGGGCACTTACAAAGTAACGTCTTCCTCTAAAATTGCCATGATAACAAAGGAAAATCCTGGAGGTCTGTTCTGCAGAACTCCCTGCACCTGAGGATATTCTTACTCACCTACCTATTCTTGCTGCTTCATATTATCCTAGATCTAGGAAGCACACCATAAAAAATAACCAACACCTCAGATGACTTCTGGATCTACTCCAGTATGTAACAAAGTTTATAATACTGATACAGTCCTGTTACCTCTCTTAAAAAAAGTAAATAAAGGGGTAAAGTTGCGCACACACAGGGAAAAGTGTACTTACTTGCCTTTTACCTACTGAAGGAAGCAGAGACTCTAAATTACTGTCGCTGACGGAAAAGAGGCTTATTCACAAGCATGAACAAAAGGCCCCAGGTGCTTCAATAGAAACAGCTTGCGTGTAAATCAGATGAGTGACCCAACAGAACAACTTCATTTACAGCCTGATCTCTGAAAATCTCAGCAGCCTCTATCCCCATCCGCCGAGCAAGCCACGTGTCAAACACTCACTTTTGTCCTGTCAGCTCCACAAACAAGGGACTGGCTCGGCGTGCGCTGCCTGAAAGCTGCCTGACAAAATCCTCTCCTGAACTCAAGTCTATCTACATCGATTCTTCAGGACAAAGATACAGAGGCACCGAGTTTGGGCTAGAGCCAAACGGGAACGCGGATATTGCTTGCTAAGGATGGCACCAGGAGGCAGCAGTATCTCTACGTTCCTCACTCCCGACTATATTAATATTTTGGACTTCTGCAGCACCTTTCTGATCCAAAAGTACTTTATAAAAGCTAAGCAGCTTTCAAGCACATGAAGTGGTGCTAGACGGGGAATGATTTCACAACAACTTGATTTCTTTTTCTGATCGAGTTTTAAGTCCTCTCCCAGTCCTCTCTCAAACTCAAAAATATGTTTTCCCACTAAAGAAATACAGGGAACATTGTTTTAAACAAGATCTACAACCTCCTCCTGACAGAAGCTGGTACCAGCTGCTCCTCTGGTGATTAAAATGGGCTTGCCTTACTTTGAATTAAAACAGAGCAGAAGCATTCACAGTTACTGGCCCAGGCGAGTGGGCAATAACCAGGAGCTGAAGTGAAGCCCTACTTTCAACTATTCAACTATTCTTCTTGCAACTGCATTGCAAGAACGTTTTTGACCAGATCAGATGCTTTGCCTCTAATAATCTACCCTCTATTCCAATTATTTAATGTAACTAAAGACAAATCTCAGCACACATTCAATGCCTACATTTTTGCTAGTGTTAGAAATTAATTTCATTATTTGCTATTGCATTACAAGATTATACATTAAAATTTCTGACTTTTTTTGTATCAAATTTGTTCCCTTCTGGTCCTTCAGCAAATACAATATAGTAGAGTAACTAATACAGTTTTAGGAAATTGTGTTACAGGTCAGAAATATATCACCTTCTCCTGTAAAACTAAGTAGTTCTACATAGGTAAAAAACAAAAGTTCTTGGACTACTACTGTTTACAACTACACAGAACACAGAAGACGTGAAAAAAACAAAGTATGAGCTCACTGTAAACAAAAAAATAGAAAACTAGTTCAAGGAGATTCTACACTTTGGAGAAATAATTACGCAGCAGTATAGTATTAATCGTTAATATGTTAATATGTTAAAATGCATAACAATTAAAATTCAATAATCTATTATTCATGTCTGAAGCCTACACTCAACCTTATGATAACCTGTGTGCCTAAAACACCTTTGATTTACAAGCAAGGTAACATACAGTTGCACATTTTATGAAGTCAGTGGCAAAGCCAAAAAGAAAACTGATTTTTTTTTTCCAATCGCTGATTTTTGATCGACTGTACACAATACTAAGGTCAGCTGCTAACTACACTTTTCAGTCCTTTCCTCGTTCAGAATTATTCCTCTTCTAGGACAGTGCCCTGTGCTGTATGTGGTTCAATTCTAAAGATACAGCAGTACAATTTCTACTTCTCTTGGGAGATGGGAATTAACATCCTGTTCACCCAATATTTATTAAGGTGCATAAACAGAATATGCCACATGCTGACAAGAGCTGAAGAGTTTAAATATGGCGAGAAATAGGACCTTTTCTAGCTGATCCAGCTGACTAAACCAGGAAACAGATAAGGTTGTATTAAGAGAAACAGAAATAGGACACAAGTTGGAACTATTAGAGAAAGCAGAACAAGAGGGGAAAATAAGTGCTAGAAATTCTATCACCCAAATTGGAGCAAATAAAATATGAGAGACGCTTAGAAGGGTAATAAAACTACATCAGTTAGGCCTAATCTTGGTATGATGAGACAAGATCTTTCCCCATTTTTTGTTGTCATCACCTCAGAATGAGAAAATGGGATGGCTGTGAAGTACAATATTCCTTGAAAAGAAAAAGTTTTCAGAGTATTGTTTCCTGCATTCTTTCTAAGAAGAAGTAGGAAACGTGCCTTAGGAATCTTGATCCTTTATGATGCTTTATCAAAAATGCATGTTCAGATGTTAGGAGGCTTCCTCCTCCTCACAATCATTTTTTCTTTTTAATCAAATAACATGAAGAAGCACAGAACAAACCCCAATACTCTTCATTCACACTCACACTGGCTTTTTTTGGCCACATATTTAAGTAACCCAATGCCAAAAATAAAACACACATCACTTTCACATTGCGTCCAGTATGCACTATTCCTGTCATCACAGAATTCTATGCATTGCATTAAACGTTACTACAAATGCTGGTCTTGTGAAACTTAATAACAATTCCAGAAATTTACTT